CTCTTTAGCCTTAGTTGATAATTAGTATGAGAAGAACAACTGTAAATTCAAAACCAGAGAACTGTTTGAGGATCTTGTGGCAGACTGTGTGCACCAGTTCTTTGTATCCATGTCATTCAAAAACTATATATGATTCTGCACAAGCCTTCACCTCTATAATCAAATCATATGCATAGAGTAGTCTGGTTATTCAGTTCTGGGAGCTAAAATCAGACCACATACATTGAAAAATATATATATATATATATATATAATATATATATATATATATATATAAATAATGCAAAGGTTAAACAATTTAAATGGTGAGACATCCATCTGCAAACAATTCAAATAGTACACAAAAACCTCAGATCCGTTATGAATGAATTGATCGTTGTTTATATAAATTTCTGCATTATTAGTTGTTATTTATTGCATCAAGCTTTGAAAATGAGTCTGTTCCTACGGCATCTTCAGGTATATAATATATATTACTAAGAGAAAAAACAAGAACAACATTCTATTATATGTCGTACCTTGAAAGTGTCATGGATAGAGGAACAGAAAGCATGTAGTAAAATAACAACTAATCAAAACAGAAATTTATATATAAAACAAGGATCAATTCATTCAATAACAACTATCTGGAGGTTTTACAAACAAGGTACTATTTGAATTGTTTATTTAGAATTGTTTTATGTATGATGGATGTCTCTCGCCATTTAAACCATTAACCTTGCATTAGTTTTGTGTGAATAATTCATGTATTTGTAAATTGATTGCACGTTTATTGTAATATATATATATATATATATATATATATATATATATATATACACACACACAAATAAAGAGAAAAAAATAAAGTTCTCTTAAGTCAGAGAAATGAATTAACAGTAATCTGTAGGCATTGTATAATGTTTACTTTAAAATATCTACACATTACAATTACATATCCGTTATTTTATTAATATATAATGGTCCACATAATATTTAAGTTTTTGATTTTTCAACTTGTATATTGACATGTTTTATTGCCCATTCAATATAAATATCGTATCTTAGATTCAAAAAATATACAAAAATGTTTTAATTACACTAGAGTCCTCTTTAAGATAGTTCTGATATGTAAAAAAAATTAAAATATTGAAATTCCTTAAAAATAATTTTGTGTTAAATATGTCTACTTCTAAGTATCTAAACCTGATGTCATCCGTGTTGAATGTTTCTAATATGTTGATTTTATCAAGACATGAATTAATAACCTTCACCTTCTGACCTTATTTTTCATTTTTATATTTTAACTTTGATCTGTCCTTTGATTGGTTAATCAAGACATGCCCACAAATGTGTTTTTTAATTTGGGAATTTTGGTTTTCCCACCTCCTTTTTAACTCTCGAATGAGCTACCTAATTGTTTTCTGATTTCCCAAGTAAATCATTTTCATTATAAGTTATCTAACAACACCAGATGAGGGAGAATTTAAAAGTTCTGAAACATGGAAAATTTTGTGTAGCAATGTAAAATATTATATATAATGAAAATATTATAATAATATTTCATATATATATATATATATATATATATATATATATATATATATATATATATATATATATACACACACTACAGTTCAAAAGTTTGAGGAAACCACTGGTAATTTTTTAAATTGGCCTTAAAAGTAGTTGTTTCATTACTTTAAATATGATTATTATACATGGTTAAAAAAAAGGAATTAGGAATTTTATCATGACAAAAATAAAAAAACATTTTATGATTAAGTTTTGCTCTCATCAAAATGTCCTCTTTTAACCTTGATTACTGCAGCACAAATTTTTGGCATTTGCTGCAAGATTTTCTGGAAGTAAAAAGTTGGTAATTGATTCCATTCTCTTTTCAATGTCTAAGAGATCTTTTTAAATTTTTTTTTTCACTCATCTGTCAAGATCATCCCATGCTAATTCTGGGGGTGGCTTCAAACTTTTGAACTGCAGTATATATTATATATTTTCTTTTGTTCCACTAGTTCAGACATTTACAGATAGGAGACACCATGTCATATACACTGAGCCAACTCATTCCATTCATATTCCATTGGTGAGGTGAAATTCCACTCACAGCTTCTTACATAAAACTGTTGCATTGAAGCATGAACTCCTGAGAGGATGCTTGCCCAATCAGAACAATCATAAGATCTTTCAATTGATGGGCAACTGTTAACTATCTTAAAATTCCTCATAATAATTCCTCGCTCCTTCTTTGTATGCCATTGAAAATCCTCTTTTAGTGGCCGTTACTCTAAGTGGCTCTTGGGCCTGGTATTGGGTGAAAAATTATAAAAAATTATATATGAGAAAAGTTTGCCAAAAAGCAGACCAATAAGTATAAAATGAGAATTTTCAATTCAGAATCCCTTGTTTTTGTCTCGTGCTGAGGAGAGAGGACAAAATATTGTAATCCAGTTAAAAAGTGCCATCTACACAAATCTATGCTAAGAAATTTTCTTTCCTGAAAAAAGATAAAGGAAGTGGCTAGAAATCAAAAGACTCATCGACAACTACATGTCAGCTTTTTTGAAAGGTCAATACGATTGTATTTACTTTTCTCCTGTAAGCTGTGCGAAATGACATTTACTAAAATGTATGAACTTTATATCAGACACATGTCCATTTCTAAGAACATTCCAGGTTTCTTTTTTTTCATATACTAAAGTTCACACAATACAAGGCTTGACAGCCACTGAAGATAGAGGGTTACAGTTAAAATGCTTATTATGAAAGTGGTGGTAAGAAGTGAATATCATGAGGATAAGGAGGATAGATAACAATTGACACTTGATTTGAAGAACTTAAGATTGTAGTATTCAGGGAACCATCTGCACAAGAGTTTGATCCACACACGAGTTTGATCCACACAGTAACAGTTTGAGTGGAACTTTTTCCTTACATTTGGAATACTTTTACTGTGAGACATGAAACTGACAGGATGCATATGAGGATTCCTCTGTTTACTTTCTCTCCCTCTCTCTATAATATATATATATATATATATATATATATATATATATATGTAATGGAATAACCTGTCACTCCCATGAGTGATTACACTATAGGTAGTAACTAACTTATAAGTATCTGTAAGTCAATGGACTACAGAGTCTAGCTGGGATCTCTTCCAGCTAGACGGTCGAACTCTCTGCCTTTGAGCAGAGAGGAACCTGGATGAAGCTCCACCAAAAGGCAGAATCTCGTTCAGGGAGGTAGACTGCCCCTGAACCCATTTATATGGGTTCAAAAGGGAATATTTTTGGCCAAGCCTACAGGCTTGGAGAACCCACACTAAACTGGCCTTGTGCCACATGCAACCCTCATGGGAGGGCAGCTAAATATACTATCTGAGATCTGTTGAGTACAACTCAGACTTACGTGAGAACTACCGACCTTACAGTAGTAGCACTCACTACTGGATTGACTTGCGACGACCTTGTGCATAACTATTACCTTTATTCTTATTGTATTAGTTTTTATAATAAACCTTTATTTATTTTATCCACCATATTGTTCAAGTATATATTCCTATTAGCATGGAATATAACATATATATATAAAGACAATAGGAAAACTATACTTAGTTTAACCGACACATTTTGTCATTCAACAGACTTTTTCAAGACAAATGTGATGGTTTTATTTTGAAACAAGTATATATTTGACAATTACTCAAAATTTACAAATTTAGGAACACTCATGAATATTCAGCAAGATAACTGAAAAGATTTAAGTGTTAGATCCTAGATTAAGTCAATAGCATCTTTAAAGGGTAATTTTTAAATTTAAAGACGCTTGATGTCAAGTTAGCTGAAAAAAAAAATGTAAGAAAGCAAAAAAAGAAAAAGAAGAAAATGTTTATTGCATTGAAATTTGAGATGGACACTTGTATTATACGTCTCCAAAATTTGGAAAATGATGGATTCAGCCGTTTCCCTTTGATTTTTCAATATGTTTCTTGTGTATGTTGGCTTGGGAAAGTACTAAAGAAAAGGTGAGATTGGGAAAAAAAAACAGGACATAGATTGATATTTTGATAATATTCAATGGTGGATTTTCCTTCATAGTAAATTACTTTCTCTTTTGATGAATTTGGTATTTTATAGATCAAAATTGTGGTCAAATTTATTTCTTTGTATGATTAACGCATTTGCTAGATTATTATTTATAAGGTCTCTTTTGCATTCATAGACACGTTTTTTTTTTATTTTTCCTATTGTTTTTTCATTTATTTTGTTTCTTCTCTAGATACACTCCATGTGAAAATAGTTATCTTAGAAAAATTGAACATGCCCTGATGATCTTTCATTTTTGAGAATGAAACTTGATTTGCTTTCATTTTATGTACCCGATTCTTTGTGCTATTCTCTGTCATTAAGATAGCTAGATCAGACCAAAACTAATGTACGGTTGCTATATATGAACAGGAATTTCCCATGCTTCATTTTCCAGTCTTGATAGAGTTCAAAAGCATCTACATGGCTTTGTGAATAATTATTTTCCAACCTATAAACCATTTCCCAAGACAAAACACTGCAAGCTGCTCACTTGTCTATCACTATTTCTATGGAAAGTGTTCAGATGAACTATATTCCTTAATTCCACCAGTTGTACCCTCCATGGCTAAGATCAACTATGACATGCACATTGTAGCCATTATTCCCTTTGCCATTGTCGAGATATGTTCTGTTCAAAGAGCTTCTTCTTATATACTATTGCTTTGTGGAACAGACTGCTATTAGGATGCTGTTCTGATCACTACAATCTTAAACTTTTCAAGTCTAGCGCTAACTATCATCTTCCTCAAATATCTCTATAAACTATTCTTCTTACTTTGGAAACTTTTACCTTGCATGGCTCTTAGTCTTATGCAGGGTGAATATTATCATAAAAGAAAAAAAGTCTTTACAAACAACTTAGAGCAGTTCATTAAAAGGAGGAGGGAATCATGAAGTTTCCACAAAGAGCGCAAAAAAAATAGAGAAACAAAATAACACATGGTTGAATAAATATATGTACAAATACCTAAGTATTTCCTTTGAAATTCATTTAAAAAAATGACTTGTCTCAAATCAATATGTTTGTATGAGTAAACATGTGATTGTAATGGTATCTTCTTATTTAATAAATATGGTTGATCCTAAATAAATCCACTTTAATAAGAAATCCAAGAGATATGTCTATCATCACTTTCAAATGTATTTGATTCTAGTGCTTAGTAAGTTTTGCCCTCATGGCATTTTGGTGAAAGGCTTCTTCTGACAGTCAACTGTTCACTGACTTGCCACAATAACAAGAAGCCATTAATTTTCCCATTAATCAGGAGTAATTTAGTGAGCCCCATGAAGGAGAATGGCAGAAATGGAAAACACTTTGCTTTGAGGCTTCTTGGAGAAATCTGTGTCTTGCAATCTGGTTTCCTTGGCTAAGAATTTTGCCCATGGCCAGCAAGCAGCTCAATGATAATGAAATATCCTGTTGGGACTGGATTGTGTTGTTGAACTGCCACCACTACAGGAATTTGACAACACTGCAAAGTTGATTGTTCGTTCTTAAAGTAGTCAGTTTCTTTTTTCTACTTTTTTTCTTTGTTTCTCTTTCTGGTAAGCTTTCATGTTGTATATTCTTTTTTTTTTCCTTTCTATCTTTTTTCTATAAGTTCTTTTATTATTTCTTTTTTTGTTTCTATTTTTTTCTTTCTATCTTTTTTCTATAAGTTCTTTTATTATTTCTTTTTTTTGTTTCTATTTTTTTCTTTCTATCTTTTTTCTATAAGTTCTTTTATTGTTTCTTTTTTTTGTTTCTATTTTTTCTTTCTATCTTTTTTCTATAAGTTCTTTTATTGTTTCTTTTTTTTGTTTCTATTTTTTCTTTCTATCTTTTTTCTATAAGTTCTTTTATTGTTTCTTTTTTTTGTTTCTATTTTTTCTTTCTCTTTTTTCTATAAGTTCTTTTATTGTTTCTTTTTTTGTTTCTATTTTTTTCTTTCTATCTTTTCTAAGTTCTTTTATTGTTTCTTTTTTGTTTCTTTTTTCCTTTCTATCTTTTCTATATAAGTTCTTTTATTGTTTCTTTTTTGTTTCTATTTTTTTCTTTCTTTTTTCTATAAGTTCTTTTATTGTTTCTTTTTTGTTTCTATTTTTTTCCTTTCTATCTTTTTCTATAAGTTCTTTTATTGTTTCTTTTTTTGTTTCTATTTTTTCTTTCTCTTTTTCTATAGTTCTTTTTATTGTTTCTTTTTTTTGTTTCTATTTTTTCTTTCTATCTTTTTCTATAAGTTCTTTTATTGTTTCTTTTTTTATTTTTTTTTTTTTTTTTTCTATAAGTTCTTTTTATTGTTTCTTTTTTTTTTTCTATTTTTCTTTTTTTATCTTTTCTATAAGTTCTTTTATTGTTTCTTTTTTTTGTTTCTATTTTTCTTTCTATCTTTTTCTATAAGTTCTTTTTATTGTTTCTTTTTTTTGTTTCTATTTTTCCTTTCTTTTTTTCTATAAGTTCTTTTATTGTTTCTTTTTTTTTTTTCTTTTTTTCTTTCTATCTTTTTCTATAAGTTCTTTTGTTTCTTTTTTTTTCTTCTTTTTTCTTTTCTATCTTTTTTTAAGTTCTTTTTATTGTTTCTTTTTTATTTTTCTTTCTATCTTTTTTTCTATAAGTTCTTTTTGTTTCTTTTTTTGTTTTGTTTTTCCTTTTTTTTTTTCTATAAGTTCTTTTATTGTTTCTTTTTTTTTTCTATTTTTCTTTTTTTTTTTCTATAAGTTCTTTTATTGTTTCTTTTTTTTTCTATTTTTTCTTTCTATCTTTTTTTCTATAAGTTCTTTATTTTTTCTTTTTTTTTATTTTTCCTTTCTATCTTTTCTAAGTTCTTTTGTGTTTCTTTTTTTGTTTCTATTTTCTTTCTATCTTTTTCTATAAGTTCTTTTATTGTTTCTTTTTTTTGTTTCTATTTTTTTCTTTCTATCTTTTTCTATAAGTTCTTTTATTGTTTCTTTTTTTTGTTTCGATTTTTTTCTTTCTATATTTTTTTCTTTTCTTTCTTTTTTTACTTTACTTTGATTCTGTTTCATTAAACATTTTTCTTTTTATTCATTTCCTCATTTTGTCTCATATTTCTGTTGAGCTTCTTTTTCCCTTTATTTTCTAAACTTCTTTCTTTTCCTTTCTGCATTTTCTTTCTATCTTTTCATAATCTTTTCTTAGAAATATTGCGATTTGTTCTTTGTTTTTATTTCTTTCATGACTTCATTTTTGTTTTATCTCTTTTCCCAAATATCAGCTTTTTTATAAGTTTGATTTTTATTCATTTTCTTTTTGCCACCATGTTACTTTTTTTTAATTTTCATTCACTTCCCTAACAACCTTCCCATATTTTATTTTCATTCTTTTTCATTCATTCTTTTTTTTCTTAGATGCAATCTCATATTCCTTTTTATTTTTCCTTTTTATTTGGCTTTAATTTTCTTTTGTTTTAGATGTTTTTCTTTGTTTCTTTCTGTTAGATTTATTTTTATTTTGATTTCTTCCTTTTTACGTATTTTCATTTTTTTCTGTTGCTTTCCTTCCGGTTTTCTTCTTTCTTTCATTTTCTTTCTTTCATTTTCTTTCTTTCATTTTCTTTCTTTCATTTTCTTTCTTTCATTTTCTTTCTTTCATTTTCTTTCTTTTTGCTTGTCTTCTTTCTTTCATTTTTTCTTTTTGCTTTTCTTCTTTCTTTCATTTTCTTTTGGCTTTTCTTCTTTCTTTCATTTTCTTTTGGCTTTTCTTCTTTCTGCTTTCTTCTTCTCTTTGATTTTCTTTCACTTTCTTTGATCACTTTCTATTTCTAATTTCTTTCTTTCTTTTCTATTTTGCTTTATCTTCTTCCTCTTGTTTTCTTTCTTTCCATTCACTTTTTTTTTTTTTAAATTATTTCTTTTCTTCACTTTAGCTTTCTCTTCTTTCTTTCTGTTGCCTTTTTCATTTTTTATCTTTTTTTCTTTCTTCCAGTTTTCTTCTACTTTGTTGTCTTTCTATCTTTTCTTTCAGATTTTTTCTTCTCTTTTTGTTTTCTTTCTTTTTGTTTCCTTCATTCCAGTTTTCTTCCTTTTTACTGTTTTCTTCCTTTCCTTTTGCATTGGCTCTTTTTCTACAAATATTTCTGAATGATCTCTTTCAATCTTCCTTCTTTAAACAACTTCTTCAGTTTCCCTTTCTTTTATTCCCAAATAATCCTTCTCTTACATCATTTCTCCTTTTTCTTCCACTTTTATTTTCCTTTTAATTCTTCCCACATCTCCTTATTCTCTTTTTATTTTCCAATCTAATTTTTCAATGGTTATTCTTATAAAAAAAAAAACAACAGAAAAAAAAAGAAACATACCATTGTTCACTGACCTTGTTCCTGATTAGAGGTCATTGTGTCCTAAACATAACAAAAATAAATGATAAAAATGAGACTCCTAATCTGACCAGAGATTAAAATAAAAGGGTGAAATTCCTTTAGCATGACAAAGAAATCAAAGATTTGGGGAAGCCAATTAGAAGGTTTTGTTTAGTTTTTCTTCAGAACCACCTTTTGAGCTCTGACAAACCCATATTTTTTTAAGTAATGGCGGGTGTGTGAAGATCAGCCAATTAACACATATGATACCCTAGTTTTTTATTCCTTCCTCTTTTCATTGTCTTTATCTTGTTCATGTCTAGAAATTAAATAACGGGTCATTTCCTGGGATTAAACGAGGGGTCGTATGCTGAAATTAAACAAAGGATCATCTTTGGTAAGCTTGGCATTGTCAAAATCCCTGTTTATCTTTTGTTCAAAAGGAAACAGCATGTTAGAAATAGATAAACACAGCAGACTGATCTTAACCGTGATATATATATATATATATATATATATATATATATATATATATATATATATATATATATTCCCTGTTACAACTACAAGATTGGTTCAGTGGTTATTCACAGGACAGACAACTAAGAGGTTCAAGAGAATATTCTTAGGTAGTTGGTGAAGCTTGTTAGAGATGACAAGTGAATGATAGAATTTATTATTTTTTAAGCATTTCACCCCAAGCAAAGCAGGAGTGCCACTAGCATATAAGGGGCTACAGAGAGTGGGAACAAGAATAAAGAGACACGATTGAGGAAAGGATAAAGAGAAGGACGGGTATATTAGATCAAGGCATCAGAAGATGTTGATTGACATTACATTTGAAGATTATAACTGTCAGGGAAGCAAGTAAGAGGAAGGGAGTTTCACAGATGGGAAGTGCAAGATTAAGGTATTGGAGTAGAAGAGACAGCTACATTTAACCATTTCATCACCGAAAGGGTGGGACTGAGATGCCAACCTAGTAACATGCTTAAATTCATGCAGTTTGGGAACCAGTGAAAATAGCTTGTCAGAGCAGTTATGTGAAAGTACTTGTAAAAAAGACAGAGGGAAGTGACAGCACATCTGTGAGAAAGTGACTGCAGACGAGATGCCAGACCAGGACCAGCCACATTGCATATCTGTCTCTGGATTTTGTTGAGGACCTTGTGACAAAAAGCGGGGGTGCCAGACCATATATGGCAGCAGGATTACATGCAAGGGAAAAGGGTTGTTTAATAGATTTATCAAAGTAAATGTGCAAATTTATATCGATAGTTGTGAACAATAAATTCTTATTTTATGTTCTATGTTCCTTCAAGATGTGAGAATTCACTACAACTTCCTATCCTATTTTGCCCTATGCAATGTTTATTCCCTTACATACAGTCTATGCTATTCCATCCATTTACACGTTGAAGTTTTTGAGACAAATAAGGAAAAAGAAGATTTGGAAAATTTGACACTCAAAGGACATATTGAGAAAACAGAGTAAATCAGTAAGTAATCTACATAACAAGCTTGTGTAAATAAATAGCAGAATAGAAAGTGGGGATAGTAAAAAGACAAACATAGCTAAGAGTTATACAGTATAGGAAGTTGTGGAAAGTCATG